ACACACACACACACACACATACACACACACACGCACGCGCGCGCGCATTCTCATGCACCATGCAGGTGTCCGAGTGGCTGACGTGGTGCACCACCGAGCTTGCGCTGCTGCTGGATGATAAGCTGGCAAAGGTGGGGCGCGGCAGCTTGCGCAGGACCGACGTGCAACCCACAGTGCCTGCAAATTGCGTCAGGACCCAGGACCACTCTAGCCGCTGTGAATGAAAGCAACCAAAGGGGCGGCAGGTACGCGGCGGGGCTATCCACACTTTAGGCAGACAGCTCAACCAATGCGTTGATATTGGGATGGGACAAGGCATCATCGCTCGTCCAGCTTGGTTGCAGCGCTATGGTGGTATCCTTCTCAGCAGGTCTGACCCTGCGCCGCGAACCCACCCACCTTCAGGTCAATGAGCAGCTGCAGGCCCGCACCTACCTAGTGGGCAGCCGCCTCACCCTGGCTGACCTTGCGGTGTTTGGCACCGTGCAGCCCGCAGTGGTGGGTGTCTTCTCGGGGGCGCAGGAAGGTTGGCGAGGGGCCTGCGCAACAGGGAGGGCGTCGATGCTAGAATGCGCCAGGAGGGAGGGCAATCGCGCGGCGGTGGCGGCCCGGCCCCAGCCAGGCCCCAGGACGGCAGCGCTGCGCCCAGAAGGGTTGCGGGCGGCGCCCGCATTTGCCTTCCGCATCCCGCACGCGCCCGCCGCGGCGCCGCAGCCTCGACAACCAGACATGCAATACTTTTCATGTGCACAGCCAATCATCTTGACATCTTCCCGCCACCCCTTGCCCCGGCGCCCATGCTCCGCCGCCGCCCTTCCCAGGCCGCCCTACCCCTGGCGCAGACCGACCAGTTCTGCAGCCTGCTGCGGTGGTTTGACCTCATACAGCATCAGGCAGACCCCCAGCAGGCCGTCTTCAAGCACACACAGCTGCAGCTGCCCCGCTTCGTGCCGCCGCCGCCGCCCGCGGCGCCGGCGCCATCGGCTGCGGGCGCTGCGTCGAGCAGCGGGAAGGTGGGTGGCTGCGGGGTGGTGGCCTGGACCTGGGTTCCTAATCGGGTTCAAGGGGTCCATTCAGGGTCTGGGGATGGCCACGTCAGATAAAGCGGGTTGTGGCTTGCATGCACAAGAGCGTAAGGTTGCGACAGATCTGTGCGCACGCAACATACCTTGACACATGTCATGACTCAGGAACGCACTGGTGCGAGCGTGCATGTGCGCACAAGCGCGCGCACACACATACGCACACACACGCGCGCGCTTGTGCGCGCAAACACACACAAACACACACACACACACACACATCATCATCCACACACACAAATTCTTCAGGGTGACAGCGCCAAAGGCTCCGACGCCTCTGCAGCCACCAAGGCGGCCCCTGCCGCCAGCAGCAGCAAGGCGGCCCCCCCGGCCGCCGCCCCCAAGCCCGCCGCCAGCCCCGCGGCCGCAGCCGCGCAGGACGCCGCAGCGGCCGCGGCGGCGCCCGCGGCGGGCGGCAAGGAGAAGAAAGCGAAGAAAGAGAAGGGCGGCGGCGGCGGCGGCGACGGCGCGGCGGCGCCTGCGGCGGCGGCGGCGGGCGGCAAGAAGGGCGGCGGTGATGATGAGGTGCGGATAGACATGCTGGACATTGTCGTCGGCCAGATCGTCAAGGTCGGGAAGCACCCCAACGCGGACTCGCTGTACCTGGAGGAGATCGACGTCGGGGAGGACAAGCCGCGGCAGGTGACGATCTGGGTGATCTGAGTGATCTGAGGGGCACGGGGGCGGGGTGGTGCTGGGTTGGCGCGCGTGGAGCGAGGCCGCGTGACGACGAGTGCTGCAGGGGGGTGGTGCTCGAGTCACTCCCGGTTTGAGCCAGCCACCGGGCCATGCCTGCCGGGCACCCATTTGCTCAACGGGCCCCCATGCTGGCGCCCCACCCAGCCCCTGTATTCGGCCCCCGCCTTCTCACTGCTGTTGCCCTGCTTTCCCAGTTGTGCCCTCACTCACGCTCCTCCATTGCATCACCCTCTCGGTACCCCCCCCCCCAAAAGGTCATCAGCGGGCTGGTCAAGTTTGTACCGGAGGAAAAGATGCAGGGGCGGCGCGTGGTGGTGGTGCTCAACCTGAAGCCCGCCAAGATGCGGGACGTGATGTCCTACGGCATGGTGCGGCCGTGGCCGGCGCCTGCTGTTGAGGGCGCCGTGAGGGTTCCGTTGAGAGGTCTTGAAAAGTCATTTGATTAACGAGCCAATGTGTTGATCTGATCATTGAGCTTATCAAATTTCTTAGGTGTGTGAGTGTTTGCGAGCTTCTGGCTGCCTGTGTGCTTGGCGTGGCTGCATTGGGTGGCATGCGTGCTTTTTGACGCGCGCGCCGTCTGCAGGCAGCTGCCGCGCGAGGGGCGCGGGCGCACCAAAGGATTACAAAACAACCCTTCGACGCGACTCTTCGTGGGCGCGAAATAAAGTTTGAGAATATATGATGGTGCCGCCGCGCGCGCCCCCACTGCGCCGCTGTCTGTTCTCAGACACCCTTCTCCTGCTGACTGCTCGCAAGCTTGCGTCTCTGCCTCCCCGTCGCCCTGGGCCCTCATCACATCACACTTCAGCTGGTCTGACCCGCCTGTTGCTACCGCGCCGCCCCGACCCTGCGCCTACCCCCTCGCCAGGTGCTGTGTGCGTCCAACGACGCCCACGACCAGGTGGACCCCATCATCCCGCCAGAGGGCGTTCCCCTGGGGGAGCGCGTCGCCTTTGAGGGCTACGCCAACGCGCCGCTGCCCGAGGTGAGGGGTGGGAAGCTGGGCTCTTGTGTGCATGCGTGTTTTTTGTGGGTGTGGGTGTGGGTGTGGAGGTTTCAGTGTGTCTGTTGGGGCTGCTGCCCCGCTTGTGATGCGAGAGGTACTTCAGAAGGTCGACAGCTCAAGGTCGAGCGTGCCCTGTTGCTATTTTTCAGGGCAAGAGTGGGCGTCGCGTTGCCCTGTGGCTTGTGATCATGCCTCCGCCCACCAGTTATCGGTCAAATGTCGACGCTTAGGCATGGAAGCGGTTGCCTGACTTTGCCTGGAGTTGCGAGGCGATGCCACGAAGGGCGGGCGCTTGGCGCGCCCTCCATCCAAGATGCGCGCACCTCCCTCAATCCTACCGGGGACGCTGGTGTGCCGTTTCAACCCTGTGAACCCCTCAAATCGAACGTGAACCTCTCAGGTCAACCCCAAGAAGAAGATCCTCGAGAAGCTGCTGCCAGACCTCACAACCGATGCCAGTGGGTGCCCGGGGCGATTGACCTGGCTGGCTCCTGCCGTCCGTGGACATGCATGTAGCACGTAGTGTTGTGGTTGCCTGCTTGCCTTTACACCATCCCAGAGTCCAGCTGGCATACGGCCCGCACATCAGGTGCTTTCCGCAATTGTTTCACCATCCTCCACTCTCCGTATGTCTTTTCGACTTGAAAAATTCTCCCGCCGCATGCGCCACCCACACCCAGGTGGCAACCCGGTCTTCAAGGGCGTCCCCTTCATGACGTCTAAGGGGCCCGTCACCTCTACCATCCCCAACGCGCACGTGGGCTGAGCAAGCCCCGCGCCACCCCGGCAGCAGAGCCAGGGGCTGGCGGCGCGCCGGGCGTGCGAGTCGCGGTCGCATTGATCTAACCTGCTTTCAACGCGCACCAGGCACACGCCTTCCTTTCTTTCAGAAACGAGTGCAACACAGAGATTGTGTGAGCCGTCCGATACTGTGAGCTGGTTTTGGTCCTAACCCCCTGGCTCGCTTGGGTGAGGCCTCTCCTCACAATGACATATCGATGAGTAACCAGGCAGGTGTTGTGATTCTTGTCAACGACTGTCAAAGAAAAGAGTCCCTCTCCCCTCGGCCCGCACCCGGACAGTCGCAGTATTTACCATGTAAATGACACACCAGCGTCACGCCGTCCCACCCATCGGGACTGCCCAGCGGAATGAGAAAGCGCATGGACTGTCGGCAAGAAGGCGCCATCAAAGGAGCAGGTTGACACTTGAGAGCCACGATGCAGCCGCCCCAGGTCGCATGATTTGCTATTCAAAGACAGCCTTACACACTCTGGCTCACTTGTGAGCGGCCTGGCCCCCACCGCCGGCCTCCCGTGCGGCCGCCAGTGCGGCACACTCCTGGCGGTGACCGCCCTTCCACCCCGCCTTGTAGCAGTCCTGAGAGCAGTAGCGGACCGACCTGCAGCCGCTGCACAGCCGCAGCAGCCCGCCGCCTGCGCCAGAGGCCGCGCCGCACATAGCGCAGCAACGGTCGGGGTGAGTGGTGGTCGCTGACGGCTGGGGCGCTGCACAGCTGTCTGCTGATGGGGCCACAGCAGACGCGGCGGGCGCCGCCGAGGCATTCATGTTGGCTTTTGTGGGAAGCGCGTCACTGCCACTGCTGGCTGTGTCCAGTTGACTGCAGCTGTTGGCGACACCAGCATGGCTGCCGCTGCTGATGCTGCGGTCGCTGCTGCGTGCCGCCACATCCTGCGGCGAGCCGGCCCCGCTGTGTGGTGCTGGAGGCGAATCGGCGGCGGCCGTCGTTTCCGCTGGTGGCGCGTCGTCCCCAGCCCCACCGCCGCCACCGCCGCCATCCCAACCACCAAGCAGCGGTGCTGCTGCGTCGCAGCCGCCGCCGCGATGCATGAGGTTGAAAGACGACCTTCTGCCCTGGCAGTCACCAGTCACCGCCCTGCTCAGCAGCTGGGCCGCAGACTCTCGCGTCAAGCGTGCACTCGAGGCCTCGTAGCGAGACGCCACGTCCTCTTGCAGCCTGGACGCGAGGCCCGGCGCTGCCGCAACAACGTTGCTGCCAGAAGCGCCGTTGGCAACCAGATAATGGAGCACCACGGCTAAGAAGTCCTGCTGTCGCTTCGCTTCCTCCAAGGCCTCTGGGGGGTAGGCCTGGGCCAACATCCGCTGCAGCAGGGTCGTTACGGCAGCCGCGAGGCCAGGTGCCTGGCTGATGCGCGCAAAAGCACACTTGCCGCTTTCGCCAGGGGCGAGCAGCGCATCCACGCACGCCAGCAGCAGCCCGCATGATGTGATGACCATCGGCAGAAAGGAGGCGTCAATCTCAAGCAGCATCCGCACGACAGCCTCGATGGCACCAGGGGAGGATGCCAACAGGCGGGTCCAAGCGGCTGGGCCAGAGGAGTCCAGCGCAATCAGAGCCAGGGCAGCCGAGCCTGCAAGGAAGCGTTTGGCCCCGCCGCGCCCGTCGGCGCCTGGTCCGCCTCGCAGATTGCGCAGGAAGGCAACCAGCGCGGCAATGGTCGGCAGTTGTTGCAAAACCCGGCATGCTTCTGCGCCATGTGGTGTCTCGAGCATCACAATGATTGAAAGCAAATTGTGCGTTCTGGTGTCAGCCGGGGTGTTCTCGTCGCCAATGAGTTTGACCAGAGTGGCCAGCGCAGCAGGCACCGCCACAACAGCCTGTATCACAGGCTCCGCCGACAAGCGCGCGAAATAGGGGCCAACTGCGAACAACACATTGCTCAAGAGCTTGGCAGCTTCGGCCGCTCGGGCGCCGCTGCTCTTGGCGTGCCGCACAAGCACCTCGGCAGCCGCGCGCGCTAGCCCCGGAGTTGGAGCCAGAGGGCGGCCCGAAATGCGGCAATGATACCCCACTGCAGCCAGCAATGCCACGAGGGCCCTTTCCTGCTCCTTTGCCCAGCCGCTTCTTTGCAGCAGGCGCGCCGTGGTGTCCAACACCGAGGGCGCGGCGGCGTATCGCACGACCATCGCCCTGCCCGCTTCGCGGCTCTCGATGGACGCATGGTCCAGCAAAGCGCTCAGCAGCGCGACCGCGCGCGCCGCGTCGAGGTCGTCGGCCAGCGCGGGCGCCAGCAACAGCAGCACGGCCACCGCGTCGCCGGGCGCGGCCAGGAACTCAGCAAGGGCTGCGCTGTTGTTTGAAGTCAGCAAGCAGAGCGCGCTGATGGCAGGCTGTGCGATCGTAGGGTCGGCTGCCCATGTGCAGAGGTGGCGAGTCAGGCTCGCCACGACGCCGCCTTTGACTGCCAGTTGCGATGTCTGCATGCATGCGGATGGGGGTTCGGCAGTGAAGGGGGTTCAAGCGAAGAGAGAAGGGGGGTTCGGGAGTGCTGCGCATGCCAGGACAGGGTCTCGCCACGCCGAAGCCGCCGAGCCAGCGTTGAAAATGCAGCTGCGAATATGCCAAGGTGCGCGACACGACTACGGGACATTCTCCAAGAGCCATTCCCTATTTGCATTCAATCGGCCTCGTAACATGAGCTCACACCTGGTCCAGATAAGAGTGTACAACGCCGCGATGCAGCCCATTGACGAGGAGCGCAGCCCGTGAACGGTCCCTGGGCGCCGGCTGCGCTAGCGCTGCCGCAAGCCGCTGCGCCAGCGCGACCGGCAGCGCAATCGTGGGCGCAGCATTGGAAGCGGCGATCAACTCCTGCAGCACAGGCCCCGCCCTGGCGGCGCTGACAGTGCCATTCCGCGCAACCAGGGCAAGCACGGCGCCGAACGCATCTAACAGGCGCTTGGTCTTGGGCCTGGTGTCTGAAGCTTGCGACATATCTATATGTTGCTGAGCAGAACGTAAGTCCTGTTGCTGCCGGGTAGACTGCGCGTACACCAGATACGGTATTGTACCGTGATCTGAGTTCAAATCTGCGGCAAAGCATTTCCTTCCACCAACATTTCTTCTGTGTACGGTGATTTCATATCAAATACTCGTTGGTTACCGGTATATGTGTAATCTGACGAGTGCCGGTTCGGTTGCGAACCTGGCTGCGCGTTGCATGGGAGTGCCTGGCCTCGAGTGTGTGCAGGGCATGGACAGGCGCACTTCAGCATAGGCAATTTCAGCAGGAGCACTCGGCTCCTGATGGATGAGGGCAGCTGAGCAGGCACCCCAGGCTGGCCCTGCTTCTGGTACGTTTGCGGCATAGCCGACCACTCTATTAACGCGCATACGTCTCTCACCGCGCAGCCGTTGAGCTCATACGTGATCACCTCCCGGCGCACCAGCGCCCCTCTGCCTCGCTGCTCCTGGCCGACAGGTGGGGCAGCCCCCGCTTTCGCCCCGAGCACCCCCCTTGTGCATGGTGTGTTGCATGCTGTGGGTATTCAGCTCACGGCTTTATCAACACGCGGTCGCTTCCTCCTGTAAAGCCTTCAGGCACAGCCTTGTCATTACCACCACCCTCGCTCCCGCCCTGGGGGAGGGCAGGTGCTTCGGTTCGCCGCTGCTTTAGTGCCGTGCGTTTTGCACCGCCTCACTACGCCTGCGACCGCCCCCTGCTTTGGACCGGGCATCCACTTGCCCCTACAATTGCCCATGTCTCTTGGGACACATGGTGCTTCGTAGGCTTCCCCCTGATCTGGGTTGTTGTAAGGTGTGTGAGTGGCAGTGGGTGAACTACATTACTCCTCCCACTAGTGTCCTTCCTGCCTATTGCCTCACACCACACCTCAGTCAAACCCACTGTTATTGACACCTGGACTGTATGTCACAAATCGTGCGTCCCGACTTGAACCTCGCTGCTGCCTGGCTTTGCCATCTGCCTCGCAGTGCACCTTGGTGCAACGTGGTATCACGGCATGGACTTGGCATCCAAATCCAGGCGCTGGTTTGCCTGTGGTGCTGCAGAGAAGCGTGCACAGGGGCGCCACACCTGGGCTCCGCGTGCATTGCAGTTGCTGCACTTCTAAAGCTCTGACTGACGGCCGCCATGCGGGATCCTCAGAGCTGGCTGCGCTGCCTACAAAAATGTTGAGGCACTACAGTCTTCCCCCGCTACAGCGAACCCCGCCATAGCGAAAACCCTGCCTACAGCGAACGCCGCCGCTACCCCCAATAACAGCAGCTGCCCGATTTCACTTTTCGCGATAGCGAACAAGCCGGCTATAGCGAACGCGCCGCCGACCCCCGATGGGTTCACTGTAGCGGGGGAAGACTGCAACCATAGTGCACGTTCTTGTCTTTGACGAGGATGAGATCTTGTCCTGACCCTCACACACAGACTGAAATCCGATCCACTCAGGGGCTGTGCAAGGCTTGATGGCTGGTGCCCAAGGGCCATGTGCTTGCCCCTGCGAGCTCTAGGCTGGGGTTTGGCGTCTGCAGTCAAATGGCACGTCTTGATTGTGCTGCTGGTTCGTGCTGCTTCACGCTGCAGAGGGAGCGCAGACTGACTTGCCCTCTCATGTGGGCGTGGGCCACGCGCCTGCACGGTGCGGTGCGGCACAAGATTGCGCAATGGAAATTTTAGGGGATGGCGCATCCTGAGATCCTGGAAGCTCTGGGAACTCTGGCAGCCCGGGCATGCCTGCCGGCAGCCCGGCTGGTTTCGCTGCACCTGCAGTGGCTCTCGCATCCGCAAATGCGCAGCCAGCGGCGAGCCAGGTCGCCGCCCTTCCATTGCGTTGAGGGTGATGCGGCATGCAATAGCGATGACGCACGGCTGCAGCTGTGCCGTGGCTGCGAGTTGGTATGCTTCTGCTCTCAGGCCTGCTTCTAGGCAGGGTGGAAGGGCAACCTCCGCCTGGAGTGAGCAATGTGGGCCGGCCTGGAGGGCAGGGGAGCAAACCGAAAGCAGAAACCTGAAAGTATGCCTGGTGTGTAGTAGGATGGCTGGTCACTCAACAGAAAGGGTCAGGCATGCATACGAGCCGCTGTATAATGGAAGTGAACCACAGGGCGTACTCAGGGGGGGTGCTGGCAGTTTCCGCGAGCAGGTGGGCGGCCGCAAGGCGCGGCCCACCTCATACCGGTATAATAGTGGGCTGAAGAGAGCACAGCAGTGGCACATCCGCATGTGAAGGCGTTTGCTAATTGGGAAAAGCTGTATGGCCTTGCTCTGCGATCCTGCTTCGCTTGTTGCAGGGCAAACACCAGGCCCTCGCAGCACCTCACCCAGTGACGCATTGGCGTGAGACGCAGCCAAATGGGGTGTGGACGATAGCCAAGCAAAATTGGCTATGTTGTTCATTCAACGCGTCACACTGTTCGGGTGCAGAAGCTCCAGGTCAAAGCGATGGCTCCGTGCGCACATTTGCGGGCAAGCGGGACGAACCGCAATCATCAAATGTTGTTAGGGCATCGATCTCATCTATCAAGTTTCAGCAGCCACACTCATTGGCGCCAAGATGCGCGTCACACTGCGGCACACGCATCTCGAACAGCGGCCGCGGCGGTGCTGCATCCACCTGCGCAGCTGCAGCAGCAAGGGTGGGGCCAGCAGCAGCGGCTGCAGCGGGGGCAGCAGCCACGCCTCTGGCAGCCGTATGTCTGCCAGCAGCGCCACCAGCACGGGGCGCAGAGACAACTCACGTGCCATGCCTCAGCGGCCAGTGGCGGCGACGCGGCATCAGCACCAGGGCCGCACCCGCTTGGCGCCGCGCTCGCAGCGGCCGCCGCCTTTGTGCAGGCGCAGTTCTTGCCGGTTGTCCTGGTGACCGCCATCTGCGTCGGCTGCTCGTTCCCCCAGGCTGGCGTGGCCGTGTCGCAGCTGCCCAACCTGACGGCGTTTGTGACCACGGCGATGTTCGTAATCAGCGGGCTGCAGCTGCGGCAGGGCGAGGCGCTGCAGGCGCTGAAGGCCAGGGGTGAGCAGCTGCAGCAGCCGGAGGCCCGACTCTATCTCAGCCAATGCACTTGCTGCAACTGAAGGACATTCAGACACGGATGGCTTGGAGCCTCAGCCAGTGCCTCCCTCGTCTGCCCTGCCCCCGCCTTGACCCAAATCAAGGAACTCCCTGTCTGCGACCTCACCACTCATACGTGCGCACCGCAACCACCGCAGGTGCCGTGGCATTTGGCATCATCTCCATCCTGCTGATCACCCCGCTGATCTCCCTGGCGGTCCTGCGGCTGCCGCTGCACCCGCCAGAGCTGGCGATCGGCCTGGCGGTGTTCTGCTGCATGCCCACCGCCCTGTCCAGCGGCGTTACCCTGACGCAGGTCTGCGTGAATTATAAATCTCGAACTTCAGGGCCACGGCGTGATGAAGGGGATTTTGGGGGCTTGGAGATGCAAAGCAGGAACAGGATGTCTGTTGACACATGTAACCGCTCGCATGACATGCCGCGTCCCCGCCTCCGCTATCCGCGACCCTCGCGGGAACCCATGCTGACGCCCTTGCGGCTTCGCCCCTTGTCACCAAACAACACAGCAAATCGGCGGCAACGTGGCGCTGGCGCTGCTGCTGACGGTCTCCACCAACATGCTGGGGGTGTTCACGATGCCCTTCACCCTGCCGGCACTGCTGGGCCCGGCCCTGGCCGGGTCGGTGCGCCTGGAGCCGCTGCCGCTGCTGGTCAAACTGGTCAAGACCATCCTGGTGCCATCCCTGGTCGGCGCCAGCATTCGCGCATTTGTGCCTGGTGCGTGATGTTGCGTCAGGGCCGGCTGACCTGCATGGAAGAAGATTCGCAGCACCCACGTACCTCCCACCACAGTGCCTCAGAGCAGCCCCTCCCCACCAGGCCCCAGCTGCATGCCATCGTGTCAGGCTGTGCACGCAGCACCTGCAGGGGCCCTCCAGCAAGGCGCACACCCCACTGCACGCGTGACTCATCCACTCGAAACCATCTCATCCACGCTCCTTGTCCACAACACACGCGCACCCGCGATCGCACCACCGCCCGCCCACCAGGCGCCGCCGCGTTTGTCGACGCGCGCAAGAAGTACCTGACCTACTCCAACGCGCTGCTGCTGGCCCTGGTGCCTTGGACCCAGATCAGCAAGGCCGTCGCACAGAGAGTACCACTCGAGGCCGGCAGCCTGCTGGTGGCGGCCGCGGCGGGGGTGGGGGTGCACCTGGCCTTCCTGGCCCTCAACATCGGCGCCTGCAGGTGCGGCGCGGTCGGCCGTCGCTCGACGCCCCCGCTGGCAGTGATGCCGAGGCGCGTGCGGCGCGTGAGACCCCATGCGCTTGTTGGATCGCAACAGTCAGCTGCCGGTGATGCGAGCGTTAATCATCAGGAGCACCACCCTCACTTCAGTGCCCGCCAGCCACTTCGCGCTCCAGGACGGCCACAGCGCCCGTTCCCACCAGCTGCCCACCGGCGGCATTGCCCCCCCGCCGGGACGGAATACATGCCCCCCGGCACGGGTTTTTGTCACGCACCGCCCTCGGCCCCCCCCCCTGCGCCACAGGCTGCTGCGCCTCGGCGGCCCCGACCCCGCGGCCGCGCTGGCCGTGCGGCGCGCCGTGATCCTCGTTGGCAGCGTCAAGACCCTGCCCGTGGCCGTCAGCGTCCTGGCCAGCCTGGGCCCCGCGCTGGGGCCGATGGCGGGCGTGGCTGTCGTGCCGGCGATGAGCGCGCACCTGAGTCAGATCATCATCGACTCGATGCTGGTGGCTCGGTGGCAGGCGCAGGACCGGGCCGCAAAGGCGGCGTGATGCTCGTGGGGAGAGCGCGCGGCTGGCGGGCCCGGGCTGGCCGAGCGAAGCGCGTCCGGGGTGCACAGAGCATATCCAGCTGCACAGCTTTGGACAATTTTTCGCAACGGAGCGACCAACTTTCTAGCTCAATCCCTTTTGTGTTCTCCCAAAAATCCTTTCTCCCCGTTGCTGGCTGTGTCAACTGTTTTACCCACTTGCTGCCTGCGTGCTGTTGTGCCTACTTTTTTTGAATGTGGTCACTGTAGATTGCTGTGATTCAAGCTTTGCTACAAGACCGGAATGTAATGGGCGCAAAAGCAACAGCAAGCACCCAACACTTGCCAGCGGTGCAGCCACGCTCAGATGTTTGCTCCTCTGAAGTTGCTGCTGTGAGCGCGTCCGTTGCCACGCAGGGTCACATAGGATAGAAACCAAGGATGCAGGTAAAAATGGTCAGCACCAACATGATGAAACCCACAGCTGCTGGGAAATCGCCGCTCACAAAAAAGAAACCTCACTGCCGCTCACCGCCGCTCACCGCCGGTCCCCTCCGCCGCCGCCGCCGCCCGCGGCCTCCTCATTGGGCAGCGTCAGCCCCAGCAGCCCCGCCAGGTTGCTGGCCGGCCCCGGCAGGCCGCCCTGGCTGGTATACGACGCCATCAGGCTCTTCACCAGGTTCAAATCAAGGTCCACCGGCCGCAGGCCCGCCGCACCAGGCCCGCCCCCTTCTTCTGCCCCCGCCGCAGCGGCAGTGGCGGAGCTGTCGCCGGCCGGCGGCGCGCGCTCGAAGCTGTCTGCGAGCCGCGTGGCCGCCAGCTCAGCGTCGAGGGCCTCTGCATACGCGTCCTCGAAGCCCGAGCCGCCCCCGTCCTCGTCCTCGTCAGCATCCTCGTCAGCGTCGTCCCCGCCGATGGACAGCTGGTCGTCCGACGCGGAGGACCCGGCGGAACCGGCGCCGTCGTCGTCGCTGTCAGTGGCGGTGCGCACCTCCCACAACTCCTGCAGCCGCGCCAGCCGCGGCGGCAGGGGCCCGGGGCCGCCCCTGGCGCCGGCGCGGGGCGCAGCTGCCGCAGAGGCTCCGCGTGCCGTCGCGGCCGACGCGGGCGGCTGCGGCACTTCCAGCCAGTTGTCCGGCAGCTGCTGCCGCTGCCGCTGCTGCCCCTGCTGCGGCCCTGCCCGGTGCTGCTGCCGGTCCTCTTCGTCCGCCCCCTCGCTACCCGACTCGGACCCGCTGCCAAAAAACGAGGACCCCTCCTCAGACGAGCTCCACCCCTCATCCTCCTCCTCGTCCTCGTCTCCAAACCCTTGCCCCACGTCAACGCCCGCGGCCGCGGCCGCCTGCTTCAGGCCGCCCAACAGCGCTTCCAGGCCCGCCACCGCAGCCGGCCCGCCGTCGCCGCCGCCGCCCCCCGGCCCCATCGCGGCCGCGAGGTTGGCCAGGAACCCCTCAGGGTCGAAGCGCACGTCGCCGCTGCGCCCGGCCGCCCCTGGTGCTGCTGCTGCTGCTCCTGCTGCTGCTGCGCCTGGGCTGCCCGGGCCGCCGCCACCTCTTGGCTGCGGGACCTCCGCGCCCTCGTAGCCCGAGAGGTGCTGCAGGAAGCCCCGCACCTGCCCCGCAATCTCAGCCGCATCCACCTCCACCGCCGCCCCGCCGCCCTCCCCGTCCCTATTGCCGCCGCCGCCCCCAGCCTCCCGCTGCCGCCCCTCGCGCCGCCGCCGCCGCTCCTCCCGCCGCTCCGCGTGCCGCGCCGCCTCGGCCTCTCGCGCGTCTACCTGCCTCTCCAGAGCAAGCGCGTGCTCACGCATCCACCCGTCCCCGTCCTCCTCGCCCTCGTCGGACGGCCCGTAAAACGGCACCCCCGCCGCCGCTGCTGCTGCCCCTGTTACTGCTGCTGATCCTGCTGCTGCCCCTGCTGCTCCTGCTGCTGCTGCTCCTGCTGCTCCTGTCGAACTTGGCGC